ATCCATCTCAGATTTTTTCGTCCACAATTCATAAGAGGTGAACAAACTGATTTAGTTTAATAATTATATGTTAATATTAATATGGGGTTTTTATTATAAACATGAGTATCGTATATCATATTACAGATGACGTCATCACCCCCTATGATATCCAACCCGCATATATCAACAAAATTGGCCGGTCCCGTGAGGTTGATATTAGAAGGGTCGACTGTACTTTGAAAATAAGGGAACTGCTCTAGCACTTTATTAATGACGGATTTTCGTTTCTCTTCTGGATCATCGGGTAAAATAGAGATTGGATGCCGAGAATTATTAGATATATTTACATTGACTTTTGTATCATTTACTACACTTATCTCAGTTTCAGTAGGTGCATTTAAAATTTCGTTTTAGATTTCATATGTACATACTGTATGTGTATTAGTATATTAACATATTATCAGACAATAAACCATCAACTCTCAATAAGTAAACAAGTGTGGAATTCGAAGAAAAAAAGGAAGGGTTGCGAGGTTGAAGGGAACGGTGGCTGCTGCCACCCCGCCAGGGATAAGCCCCAAAGAACAGCTCCAGAATTTTTCTTTGAAAACAAAGTTAATGAAGAACTGCCTTGATTTATGATTTGCATCTTCTCTGTTGACAAGCATCACGTCCGGGGTGGCCCAAACTTCATTCCAATTCACTGATGGTGCTTGCATTCGGAAATGACTGATTTCTGGGCTGTTTCTTATTTTGATTATTACCAGCCAGAAGCCTCCTATTGATCTTAGTTTTAGAAGTTTTTTGTTTCTTCTTAGGAGTCACATGCTCTTTGATTCTCGATGGCACCAACACGTTTTCTACAGAGTGTTTCTTCTTCTTGGAAGCTTCCTCCATCAAAGTGAAGGTTTTTATGGTTTGCTTGAAAATATTCTGCACAAAAAACAACATTAAAAAATAATGAATGAATGTTAAAGCAAATTTGCCAGCTTACCTTAACATTCAACATCATCCTTGCTATTGTTACAATCTTGCTCATTTCATCAAATTGAGTGGGTACATCAAATTCTGCTAGCATGATAGATCCATGGTATTTGCCACCAATGTACACATTTAACAAAATCCGAATAAAAAATCGAGATGAGATAAATCCAGGCAGAAGCAGTTTCCGAAAAGCTTGAATGACTTTGACAGGAACACCTCCACCACCTGCGTTAGACAAGGTTTCTAATAACACCTGATGCATATCTTGCAATGTTTTCTGTACTTTGAGAGTGTTATCGAGAATTTTTCTACCGTTTTCAATTTTTGAACCTGCTCTTTCACACAGCAAGAATTCTCGCCCCCATGTAAGGTCTTTTGCAAGATCATGTTTCTATAAACAAGAATTGTTAGCAATTATTAAAGTTTGTTATTCATGATAATGGACTACAACATACATACTTATACTGTAAAAAGCCAATCTAAGTGATAACCTTCTGCTTTATCAGAAGCATCAACTGCTTGAGTACGGCGTTGTCATGAAGCTCTGGAAACCATCTCTCCACTAGTCAATAATATTGAAAAGGTTCATAATATACCAGTAAAAATTGAAAGCATATTAATATAATAAATTTCAATATATTAAAATGTGATCATGTAAAATCTGCAGTTTGAACTTACAAATGCGAGTCCATAATGTCATCAAAACAAGAAAACATGTGGGACTTGAAAATCACATCAATATCCCGTTCTGAATTTTCCGTTGCGGTATTTTTCTATCGATCATATTGTGCCTAGTTCACATGAGTATTCAGTTATTTCAAAATATTAGTTACATGTAAAAATTCCCATACTTACATATAACAAAGAAGTTCAATAATGTAACAGACATCTGGGTGTTTATAATCTCCATCTTGAACAATATTATCAGCAGTTGTGATTTCAGTAGGTGGGGAGTCAAGGAAAGGATTTTCATCTTCGACTTTGTTTGCAGTAGTCAAAGTCTTTCAAATCTTATTTACAGCTCCACAAACACCATGATGTATTACAGTTTTGGCCACCTTCTTTAATCCTTTCTTATCCAACTGGAAGAAAATCGCACAAATGTTGAGTTTATGAATCAAAAAAGTGCATAAAGATACTTAACATAATTACTCACTCTTGCAATTGAGTGCAAGCATCTTTCAACTGGTGGTTCTAACACTTCCCAGTCTGATGGAAGATTAGAAAGTAAACTCTTGCTTAGGTTTAAAAACTCTCATTCCATAATAATTCCAGTTAATTTCGGATCACATGTGTCAATGATACACCACCAAATGGCACTAATAATAGAAAGATTTCAGAATCATATATTTTGATTATAACAAAAAATCATATAATTGTGAACTTATGTTTCTGTTACCCGAGACAGTGATTCAAAGTCAGTATCAGTTAAGTCAGTTGTGGTGGCGAGATCTTCATAATGTTGATGAATTCACCTGAGCCAGTCAGGAATTGGTTGTTCAAACTCCCAGCTTTTCTCAAGATTATGTTTTTCCTATCAGTGCATCCAACAAAAAGGCAAAGAAGGTAAATTAATTACACAGCACAATACAAAAAAAAATGCAAGAAAAATAGAATAAATATTTAACTTACGACTCATTCACCATCAGTGATATCGCAAATATTTTCAATGTTTTTAGTAGCATTGGTTGCATTTAACTCATCAATTTTTGTAGCGTCTGACTTATCGAATCTAGTAGAATCTGACTCATCAATTTCGGTAGATTTTCTCTTTTTTGATTCAATGTTTAAAGTTCCGTTACATTGTCCTTGTTCATCCTCCTTGAGTCTTTTTGATGATTGTTGGCATTCGTCCACTATTTCATCACCAACATTCTCCCCCACAACTTGGTATATTAATATATCAATTGTTTTTGATTGAATAGTTCTTTTTACACGATTCTATAATGACAGTTGGATGGTTTTGCTTGGTTTAGCCATAAACTAACATGTGCACAAATAAAGGATTTTCACCTGCCTTCTTGCGTTCATCTATCACTCCTTCCCAATACGATCGAGTATCCTGTCGAAAATAATGAAATAAAAGCATGGAAGTCGGATTTTCCGCTTTCCAGATAAGTAATAATTTATGAACCAAAGCATTATCGTCTTGAAAGACATAAGTTTTGTCATTATCTAGGCTTTCAAAAATGAATAGCGAGTGATATAATAAAGAGTTTATAATAAAATAAAATAGACCAGAACGCAAATAGTGAGGCTAGGAAAATATACCTATACTCTGGATTCAGGTAAAACCTGTCAAGAGGTGCCCTTCACTATTACTTGGGTTAGGAAAAATACCTATACTCTGGATTCAGGTAAAACCTGTCAAGAGGCACCCTATGGTCAGCTAAATCGAAAAATACTTACCTCTTCTGCGACTAGCACCGTTGGTGGTAAGTTTAACCTTTTTGATGTTTGCAAGTATCGGTTGTACCACGCACCATTGAGTCCTCTCCAATCTTCCGTCAACGGAGGTGTTTTGACAATTAAAGAACGGTTTGATTCCAAAAACTCCAAGTATGACTAACTGCAGTTCTGGTTAAGTAAGTTTCGAGTGCTATTGAAAGCAATAAGATCGATTAGTACCTAATAAGGTTTTTTCATACATTTTGAATTAATACTTGCCTGTTCGACCGGGCCGGGATATTGTTTTGCTGACATTATAAACAATGATGGATCGAAAAAAGACGTGAGGGAATAGTAGATTTAGGCAATGCACAACGAAAAAACTTTTCGCGTATGTCATGAGTTGGACAATCGGATTTGGAATTTGCACACGATGACATCATGCATAAAAAGTTTAGTACCCTAGCCATGGCGAAAAAAATGGTTCGGATCATGTGAAAATGTTCGGATCACGTGGAAATGTTCGGGTCGGAGCATCAGAAATAACTCGGCCACGGCACAAATAACAACAAGGTAAACGCGTCTTATCATCACTATTACATTATTATTACAGTCAACTGCCTTTAATTCGACCGCCTCCGTTCCGGAGTCATCGGTCGAATTAACGGCAGACGTACTTAAGGAAAACAACAACAATAATAATAATAAAAATATTTTTCGGGTTTTGCTCAAGCGATCGAATTATCGGCGAAATCGAATTAAAGTCGAATTAAAGGCAATTGACTGTATTCACTTTATAGACTTGATAAAATGGCAAAATCTTGACCGTATAAACGTAAACAAACCATTTTAGTAATTACTGGCTAAAGTTATGCTACCTATAACCATAATAGTAAGATGGTATATCTCAATCGTTCAAAATACAAATTAAATTGAACATTTACAGATCGTTTATTGTTTGAGATTGGTATACTACATTAAGATAACATAGCGTTAATTTCCTATGTACTAACTTCCTTTCTATTCCAAGTCTAATATAACTACTCTTCTTGGTTTTCTGTGTTCATTTGGTTTGCTTGATAAGCGATTTTTCCTTTTCCTATATGCTAATACTAATTTCAAATTAACATAAGTGAAATTAACATAACAATCAAACATACCTACATCGTTAATACACTTGTTCGAAAAACTGTGAGTTTAATGCTTACCCCACGATACAAAGAAAACTACAAGCCAAGACGCAATAATCCATCATATAATATACGACTCGCAATCATTATTCCGAAAGACTAAGGACAGTACAGTAGTGTTATATGAACGACAAATTTTTGTGAGAAATTAATGAGATATCTACAGTATGCTGAGAAGTGAAGAAGCCTTACTATTACACGCTCATAGTACATAATTAGCGAAATGCTTGGTGTTGGTTCCGAAAAGCGAAGGGGATGGTTGAATTGAAATGAGAGAACATTTGAGTAGCTGACATTAGTGATAACAACAAAAGTGTGAAATTTGTTGACCGTTACAAATATGGCACGCGATTTGTTTACTGTTCAACAAGTGCCACATCGGCTCCAGCTCGGACGTTCTGATCCGAACATTTCCACGTGATCCGAACATTTTTTTTTTTTCGCCATGGCTAGGATACTAAGTCCAGTTTCCATGCCATCCCTCCCTACCCTGCTACTGCGCAACATCCTCCAACCACAGGCCCCCAGTACACCTGACACACTAATCATCCCATGTGTTGGGCCAGCTAGTTGGGATGAAATATTCCACAAACATCGTCACCGACCTGCCTCTGACCTACTATGGCTAGCCACATGGGATAGGCTTCCCATTGGCCAACCCATTGCCACCATATCACCAGATAACACACAATGCCCATGGTGCCCAAACATTGAACACACCACCCTCCACTTATTCCACCATTGCCATATTGCACAATCAATATGGGATACAGTCCACATGATCTATGCAGATGGCACCCATACACAACCCCCACCACATATCCCAAACCCCACATAAATTCTAATACTAACCTTAACAATTCCTCTCATTCAGCTATGCATATAGATCCTCAACCTTCAATTGTGACACCATTGTCACAAAAGTCTCTTCAATCTTCTATTCATGCTCCAAAACCCTTACAATCACCAGATGAATTGGATAAACAAGATAGCATTAATGATTCTCATGGCTCTTCCTCATTGTCAAATACATCTAATACTAATATTGCTGATACCAATACCTCCCTGCAAGACAACTCCATGGAAATTGAAACTGATAAGATTAATGATTCTCAAACCCATGAAGCTGTTACTAACCATAACTCTAATCATCCTAAATGTACTAATACTAACTCTCACTCTTCTTCCTCCTTCCCATACCCTACTCGTTCTTCCCAAACCAAAAAATAATCATTATGACAGTTCCTCCCACAGTAATTTCTTTGAATGTGAATGGCCTCTCATCCCATCATAAATTAAAATCTATTATCACTATGCTTTCTTCAACAAAACCAGATATCTTATGCTTTCAAGAAACATTTACATCCCAATCCTCTCCTCCTTCTTCCTTCTTTTTACATTTACTAAAATCCATATGGCCTGGTCATTTGTTTTACTCTAAACACCTCATTACCCTCATCTCCCCTTCTTATTCTGCTAAGCTTACCTTTCTTTCTCCAGATGAACATGTTATGGATGTCTCCATTTCATCCCCTTTCTCTTCATTCATTATTAGAAACATTTATGCTCCTCCTTTTCTAAATTCTCAATTCTGGTCTTCATTTCCTCCACTTCCTAATTCCAACCACTTAATTTGTGCTGGAGATTTTAACACAACTACTCAATTTTGTGACCGATGGTCCTCACAACCTTTTTCTAAAAATCTTCCAAACCTTCTCCTCCTCCAATCATGCTTTCCTAATATGATTGATCTTGCTGGATCCTTACCTGGACCTCCTCACTTTACCCTTATCAGAAACTTTTCTTCTTACACCTCTAAATCTCGTATTGACTACATTCTTTTATCATCCTCTCTATTTACATCTACCCTCAAAACCTTTACAATCTTTATGAATTCCCTTTCAGATCATTGAGCTGTAGTTCTTAAACCCACTCCTCTACATAAACACTCCTCTCATTGGCGAATGAATACATCACACCTCTCAATCCCCTATGTTCAAAAAAATATTTCTAATATTCTCCTTTCCTATTCTTCCTCTCCCTCTTCACATAATTGGGATAAATGCAAACATGACATTAAGAATTATTTTAAATCCACTTCACAATCCTTTTCTAAGAAAAACAAAAGTGCAATCTTTAACATTTCTAACAGAATTAAGAACTTACAAAATTCCT